TATATATATATATATATATATATATATATATATATATATATATATATATATATATGGACAAAAATGTTAGATACTTGTCCGACAATTTATATCAATATGCCTTGTAAAGAAAAATTTCGACATTTTAAATTTTGAAATATTCGATACAGTGCAAGAAAAAGAAGAACGAAATACAACCTTTATAAATTTGTTTTTGTTAATTTAAAGTTATGGAACACACTAATAAGTTTGTTTATTTATCGTGATTGTGTGCATAGCCGTCACTATGAAACCAAGGATGAAAACAAGGAGCAAGAGTGACTCAAAATTTTCTGAAGATTAATACTAGCCGATGGGCTTCATAGTAAGATAGTAAGATTTTTGTTCGCCTGTATCGAGCAAGTTTCACCGTGAGATCAGTACGCGACCATGGCACGAATGCGGGTCAACCAATTTCATGCGTATTTATAGGATGCATCCCTACTTATCCGCCGTATGGATACAGAACGCACGCATTTTACACAATGAATGTCTTGGGCACTACTCGACACCGATCGCCGACGATTCTTTCTTCGGTGACTGGTGGTTCAAGAGGTGAGAGACATTGGTTTGGAGGGGATAAACAGGGACTCCGCCCGAAGCCTGACTATAAAATGCCGTCTCAGAAATCAGGCTTAACCAGTCTTAATCGATAAAAGAAGCTCCATTCTTCTGCTCCTTATATTTTTCTATATTTTCTTATAAATATAAATAGGACCTTTGTAAATTTGCTTTCGTCGACTCAAGATTATGGAGCACACCGGCAAGTTTGTTTTATTATTCACCGCAATTATCTTCGTAGCCGTCGCTGATGAAAATAAGGAGCAAGAGCGACCAAAAACCTTCCGAAGATTAATACCAGCTGATATACTTCGTGGTAAGTATACGTTTCTGTTCGATTTTTTAAATTAAAACTATTTTAAAATTTACCAAGTAATATTATCTTGTTTATTATTTATTTATTTATTATTAATTTTTGGCACCAATCTTAAAACATTCGTTATTATTCTGTATAATATCATAACAAATAGCATCTTTTCTTCAATTTTCTCAAATTTGCTCACTCATTTATAATTCATCATATGAATTTTACGTAGCTTGTAATAAGACGGCTAAAGAATGATATACACCTAATTAAAGACTACTTTTTTCTATCATCTTTAATTCATGTATTTAAGAAACAAGGATTGTGTCACAAAAGTATGAAATATCTTTGTAATATAATCATTGTTTTTGTAATTAATTTACAGATATGAAAATTTTAAAAATGTTTCAACTCTTTATATTTTTTCACTCATAAAATTTTTATTAATTAACTATAAAATATATATGTATATGTATATATATATATATATATATATATATATATATATATATATTGTAATTTAACTTAATATGTAATCCTAATATAATATAAAAACTGTAAAAAAAATATCTTAATTTATCAGATTAATTCTGCATATTAAATATTTATTCTCACTTTTGCCGTTGAATGCATTATCATGCAAACTTGTGCAATAATCTTCTTTAATTAATAATTAAAAATCTATGTGATTATTTGGAAAATGGTAGAGGACTTTTTTGTTCAATTTGACATAAAGTATAAGTACACGACG